TCTTGGTTGCATGGTGCAATTGTTGCAAGGTCAATCTTTTGAAAAGGAACAGTGACTTCACATTATCTATTAATAAATTCCAAGTCAAGCCCAGCACAATATGTTCCCAACCTAATTTTCAGGACATTATACTCTATTTCCCTTCTTATAGTCTGTTCTTTAGTAAAACTGGACTTTTTGCATCTCCTCTTTATGTGCATTTTATGTTTTAGCCTTCATTTGACTTTTATGAGCACATTTTAACTGGGGGCTGGCCATGTGTCAGACATTGTTTTGGGTCTTGGGGTGCCAAGATAATAACAACAAGTCCCTGCTTTCCAAGAGTGCATGACTGGTATGGCATGGCAGATTTGATTTTGAGTCACATTTTTTTTGTGATAGGTTTCTTCCATTGGGATTATTCCTAATTACTCTTAAAATCTCACCCATTTCTTAGAGGCTTATCTCAAAGTAGCCCCCTATATAAACAACATAAATTCCTCATTCTCTCATTTAAATATATTTCTTCATCTGAGCCACTTCATCTTGTCTTACTTTGTTATTTGTGTTTATGGTTTTTTTTTTTTTTGAGGATATGGAGCATACTTATTTACTTTTGTATTCTTCATTGTGACTTAAAAATAGTAGGCTTTCAGGAAATCCTTGCTGAATTTTCAAGGCCTCATATTAGTAGAATTTAACTTTAAATAGAAAAATACCCAAAATTTTCATCCTCATTTTTAATTTTTATTCTTTTTTAATTTTTTAAAGATTTTATTTATTTATTTGCCAGAAAGGGAGAGAGAGTGAGCAAGTGAGCACAAGCAGGGAAAGTGGCAGGCAGAGAGAGAAGCAAACTCCCTGCTGAGCAGGGAGCCTGATGTGGGACTCAATCCCAGGACCCTGGGATCATGACCTGAGCTGAAGGCAGACGCTTAACTGACTGAGCCACCCAGGCATCCCTTCATCCTCATTTTAAAAAAAAATATTTTATTTATTTATTTGACAGAGAGAAAGAGAGACCACAAGCAGGGGGAGCAGCAGAGGGGGAGGGAGAAGCAGACTCCTACTGAGCAGGGAACCTGATGCGCGGCTCCATCCCAGGACCCTGGGATCATGATCATGAGACAAAGGTAGACAATTAAGAGCCACCCAGGCACCCCTCATGGTCATTTTTTTTAAAGAACTATCCCCAAAGATACTTAATCTAACAAAGATGACTTGATAGGAACTACTTAAGCTGAATTGATAGTTTTGGAAACTACATTTAAGGAGATAGGCACACACTAACACACCAGACTTAGCTTGAGTGAATAAGGAGATTGGTTGCTTATTTTCTAATGTTCTTTTCTTATACTGTTTGTCCTACAAGTATATATGATTAATATATTAGAAAATTATGGAAACAGATGCAAGAAAAATAGAAAGACGTAAGTATACAGGTAAAGATAAATATAGTATGGGAGCCTGGACATTGACCAGGGATTTCAGAAATAGAAGTATTAGAAATGTGTCTGAGAGGAGGGTCTGTTTTTAGCACATTTGGACACCCATCTTTAAATATGAGACGCATTTCTGGAAAGAACACAGGGTCCTGTGAGTGAAGTGTTGGGTTGCCTTGTTTTATATTTGCTTGAGGCTACTACAAAGAATCAACAAATGTGTGAAGGGAAAGCAAAACCAAATGAGTTTGGTTTTAGAGACATTCAGTAGGCTTCTAACAGATTTATATCCCCGAACAGATGCTTTCACAAAGGCAGCAGCATCTGGAAGTACGCACACACGTTCCTCTCTTCATACTCCTTGGCATTGTCTCCATGGTTACTAAATGAGTCACTCCCTTCAATCAACACTGATGTGATAGAAATAGCTTCATCAAAACAGCTTCTCTTCTCCTCTGGAAAGTGGACAGATTGTTAAAGAATGTCCACAGTTTGCATTAATGATCCTACTACTTCTGTGGTCACAACTGCAGCTAACTTAAATAGGTACTGAGTCAACATATTGTATTAGTTACTTACTCTCACCGTAATAGTATGCACATACAAGAAGTTAGGAAGATTTTAGTAAATTCAGTTATTGGCTCTTTATCATAATCTAGGACATTATTGATGAGTCCATCTTACTTATTTTAATACTTTTGATTTTCTTTTGAAATTAGCAAAAACTTAATAATTTTGTTACCAGATTACCAAATTACCAAATTAAGCTTTTTTTTTTTTTTTTTAAATCAGAACATACCTACATGAAAAAAAGAAATGCCTGAGGGGAGGCTCTTCAATAAGCTTCTTTTAAGGGGTGCCTGGGTGGCTCAGTCGTTAAGCGTCTGTCTTCGGCTCAGGTCATGATCCCAGGGTCCTGGGATCTAGTCCTGCATCGGGCTCCCTGCTCGGCGGGAAGCCTGCTTCTCCCTCTCCCACTCCCCCTGCTTGTGTTCCCTCTCTCGCTGTGTCTCTCTCTCTGTCAAATAAATAAATAAATAAATCTTAAAAAAAGAGCTTCTTTTAAAATGTGTTTATTAGGACACAAGGACATCAAGGTTCTTAAACCATTATGCATTAATAAAAATTTGATTTCCAAATGATGTCCTGTGATTAGGCTTATTTTATTTTGATACAGCCAGGTTTTCTACACATTTTAAGATAAAGCAAGAAGAAGAGCTTGTTCAGGAGAAATAATTAAACCCAAATAAAACCACCTCAGTCACTGTTTTGAATTACTAGTTAATGTTTGTCCCTGACTCTGCTCCAGGCAGGTTTCATGCTTTCTTTGATGAGTAACTCTTGTGGGAACATGATGGGCTTTTAAGGTTAAACCCATCCTGGTGGTATAATCCTTGACTAGGGGTCTGATATTAAAAAAAAAAAAATGCTTAAAGTATACATGGTCAATTTCTTCTAAATAATTTGAGTTTTAATAAACCTATGAGGAATAACTTTTGAGAACATTATTAAAATGTTTTTAAAAAAAAGATTTTTATTCCAAAAACAGAGAGAGTGCTTGCTTTCTGAGTCTGTGGGTCTATCCAACCAGCCCAAGAATAGGACTCAGTTATGATCCTCTCCGTCTTGTGGAGATCGGAGAGCTAACAGAATGCCAGTGACTGTTTCCTCCCAAGAAGGTTCCTTGGTGGTGTGGTGGAAAGAATGTGGTCATGAATCCGTGCTTTCAAGGCTCTGGTTCTACCATCTGTCACCTACCATTTGTTAGGCAAATGTTTTCACCTGGCTGTAGCATTGATAAGGACCCTTGAATTGCCAAAAAAACAAAACAAAACAAAAAAACAAAAACCAAAAACAAACCCAACCCCAAAAACAAAAAACAACCCTGTATTTGTGGTTGGGGATCACTTGAAAATATTTTGCTAAGGTTCTGTCTTTGCCATTCTATCTAACTTTGATTATCGTGATGGATCTTGTGTTCTAGGTAAATACTGGTGAAAATTTCTTTCACTGCTGCCACCTTACAAGCATTCTTGTCTTCTCTGTTGAGGTTGATAAAGACTATATTTGGTGAACTAGTAAAACCACAGGGCCTTATTTCTAAATCTGGTTAATCAGACACCTCCTGCATTCACTTAGCCATCACAAAATGATGCACAATAGCACTAATTATTTTATTTCCTAATTCTAAAGTTAATCATGGTGATTTTCAAATCATGAAGAAAATAAATTAAGATGCAATGTTGTTTCCCAGTCTCCTGGGAGATCTCACAGGTTTGTCATTAAATCACACTAGTAGTGTTGGGTTTCAGTGCTTTGAAGACAGGCAGACAATGGAAATCCCAGCTGTGAGTCCCATTTGCTCCATGAGGGGGCAGAGATGATGACCCATTCCTACCAGTATCCCCAGCACCCAAAATGTGCTGGTTACACTTTCGGAGCCAAATACACGAGGGAGTAATGATAGGACGAAAGAAGTCAGCCTCCTCCAAACTTTCCTTCCTCAACTGTTGAATAGAATGATACGTAGTTACCGCTGGTTGTGTGAGAATTAAATAATACACATAAAGTGTTTCGTGGAGGGAATAGCATATGATAAGAATTCTATGACTGGTAGTTGTTTATCTTCATATAGGAAGGCTGTATCTCCAATTCATAGAGACTGCTTCTTTATATTTTACTCTCCTTTATTTTCTTATGTGGTAAAGTGTAAGTTCTACTGGTATTAAACAAGTAAAACTCTTGTTCAGGGTAAAGCTGCTGGAAACCCTTAAGTCTACATACTTGAAAAACAAAAGGAATCTAGATTTTTCATTGACTTTCTACCCATCCCTCTCTGCATCAGCTGAACAAGTCTTCATTCCTTTTTTTTTTTTTTTTTAAGATGTATCCATTCATTTCAGAGGGAGAAAGAGACAGAATAGAGAGGGGCAAAGGGAGAGGAAGAGAGAACAGAGGGGGCAGAGGGAGAGAAAGAGAGAGAATCTCCAGCAGACTCCCTGTTGAGCAGGGAGCCTGGAGCCCGACATGGAGCTCAGTCTCACAACCCTGAGATCATGACCTGCGCCGAAATTAAGAGCTTAACCGACTGAACCACCCAGGCACCCCAACAAATCTTCAATTTTTAGAGGACTCCTCTCTAAGGGTCTATAGACAGGCTTTTTTTCTGTATTTCCATTTTCTGAATAAGTAAAGAGCAGAACAAATGGAGACTGCTTTCTCTGTCTGCCTCATCTTGATGTTAAACTGATTTGGGAATAACACCCCTCCCACCTAGCCACTTGACACAGCAGTTCTGAAGGTTCTGAATCATGACTACTCAGGGTCAGTTAATTCTAGAAAATCACCCAATCTAACTTTTTACCCACATCCCTAGTTTCCAGCCTGTGAACTGCAAGGAATATTGCAGATCTTCAGTTTTCTGGGAAGGCACTTTATTGCTTTTTCTCTTTCTCTTTTCAGTCTAATGACTCACATTCAGATGGTTCTGCCCAATTTTAGAATTATTACGATCTACTTTGCAGGAAAAAGAAATATAACATTTTATATACAGTATAATTTATGTAATTTTTTTTCAAGGAAGAGAAAGATACAGCCCTCAATGCAGAAGAATTTCTGGCTCCTTTAACATTAAGAGGTATAAACGTTTAGTATTTTATCATTGGGGGTGTGTTGTAATTATTTATCATGTAATTCCCTTTGAAGCTAATGAATTTACATTTTCAAAGAATACTTCATGATATGGAAAAATATTCTCAAAACAATGACATAAAAAAGTACAAGATGCAAATCAACACAGTGTAATTCCAATTTTGTTTTTTAAAAAGTCACTATGAATTTTTTTTTAAAAAAACAGGAAAGAAATATCCCCAGATGTTTATTTTATCATCTCGAGGGTGGGTTAAATTTTTGTAAAACCATCCTTTTCTCTTTTGTGAAACCTGCCTTCTCCCATTCACAGGGACCCTGTCTGGACCACCGAGAGGCTTGACTAAGTCATGTTTCAGCTCTTAGACATCTTCAAAAATAAAGGCAACATATGCATCCAATGAGTTATAATAGAACACTGATGACACAGCATTTCTGATAAGAAGTCCTTGAGCAAGTTTCTTTTTGGTTCCTAAGAGAAATGACGTTCAGAGATTCCTCATGGGAACTGCCACAGGCCGCGGGGAGGAGGCACAGGCTGCAAGGCAGTTTGCACTGGGCCGCCTCAGAGCTAGAATATGGGGATAGCTCAGCTCGGGACCCTGCCCCAGAACTCATGACTGGAGGAGATCCAGCCCAAAGGGGGAGCTGGGCACCCAGGCCCTTGGCCTCCCTGCTGGAATAGGTAAACAAATGTCAGCCACCGTGAAACCTGGGAGGGGCTTTATCCTGACCTAGCTGCTGGTCAGTGTTCTACCCAAAATCCACTGTGAATGATAAAATGGTATATTGATAGGATTTTTAAAAAGTGATGTTATCTGCTTTTGAGTATCTTTCCTATGGAAACCACTAAATAGTTTTTTTTTTTTTTTTCCCTAATCTAGAAGAAACGACTCATGCCACTCACTATTTTACATCTTTCTCTCATGGTCAAGTATCCATACTCTTTTAATGGCTTAAAAAAAAACCCAAAACAGTCCCAGTGATTAATTTAAATCCTCCCTTCATCTGTTATCCATACAGCTTGCTTCAGTACATTGTCTCATCAGGACAGATTCGAATACAGAAGCTCCAGGGCTGCCCACCTAATATGGGAGGAGCTGAACTTAGAATAGAAAAGTTCTCCAAATGGCAAACAGCTCAGATGCTTAATGCAAATGAGGAATTCCAATTGGCTTTGAATGTAGCATCATGCAAAATAACCACCTCACAAATCACTTTCTCTTGTATAGACTTATCAAAATATTTATAAAATGGCTTTGCACTGTTATACCTAACTAAGCCTGTTGGTATTTATTTTTTTTTCAATAGATTCTCTTGTTCTTACACAGCCTGATGCAGTGACCACACACTAACTTTTAGAAAGTGAGCTCTCCCTCTCATTCTGCCTCTTGTCTCTGTTTCTAGATATTCAGTCAAATTGGCATGCAAACGGAGGACTAAAAGTATCATTCAGATTATTATTATCGATTGAGAATAATACATTCTACTATCTGATATCTGATCCCCTTTCTCGAAAAATATGCACATTGAAAACCTGATTTAGAATTGAGGAAGTCAAAACTTTCCTTTTAAAAGTAACGCAGCAGTGGAATTTGGAAAGCATGGTGGAGACTGGTGAATCTTACCAACTTTTTTATGTGGGAATATGTAACTCCAAGGCATTCTGTAGCTCTCCAGGATCACAACAATCAAGGGACACATCAAGCTTTAGAAAAACTCATCCTCTTGAAAGACAATCTCAGTATTTGTGGGTGGATAGGAAGGGCCTCAAAGTGTGATAGAAAGGATGTCAGAAAAGAATCATCTATTACAAGTCTGATCATTGTAACTAGGAAAAAGTAAGTTGTGGGTTTAAAGTTCATGTAGATATTTTCCAGGGAATAGTTCTGCTTTAGCAGTTCAGGATTTCTCAGGGAGACCAGAGTGCCTGGGTGATACTGAGGGGTGATTAGTCCTCTGTACTCTGGCCTCACTCAGAAATAGCCTGGACCAGGCAGGCCAGTCCTGCCAGTGAGACATTAGACCGTGGACCTTCTTGACCCCTGCAGAGTGGGTCAGTTTCATGGATGTGGGAGGGGGTGAGTGCGGTGTCAGGGGACTGATGGCTGTGCTTGGAGCATGTGATACATTCTTTGGAGCTGCTTCCTGCTCGAGGATGACCCAGTGTCCAGTAGTGGTTATTGTGGCATGAATTGTGCCCCAGAAAGATATTGTGAAGTCCTAATCCTCCATACCTGTGAAAATGACCTTATCTAGAAAATAAGGTTTTTGCAGATGTCATCAAGTTAAGATTAGGTCATACTGGATTCGGGTGGACCCTTCATCCAATGGCTGGTGTCCTTATAAAGAGAGAAAGACACATACGAAGAAGAAAGAATACCACTTGACAATGGCAGCAGGGGTTGGAATGATCTGGCTGGCATAAGCCAAGGAATGCAAGGATTTCTGGCATCCACCAGAAGCTAGGAAAAGGCAGGGAGGGGGTTCTTCCCTAGGTCTTTAGCCAAGGCATGGCCCTGCTGACGTCTTGATTTCAGACTTGTAGCCTCTGGAACGGTGAGACAATGTTTTTCTTTTGTTATAACCCCCCCCCAAGTTGTTGCACTTTGTTATGGCAGCCCTAGAGTACAAATACAGTGACTAAAATGTATACTCTCAGCTTCTCCACTTTTGCAGTCCAAAGATGGAAACAATTTGTCCTGAAAGGGTAAGAGAACAAAGTAAATTTGCTTTTTGGGGGATAGATTTGGGTAGATTCCTCCATGATGAGTTAGATGAGTAACATATGGTAAAGTGGAGTCTAGGTAATATTTGGCCAGGGTGATTTCAGAAGAAGAGCCAAGGAGCTTGGGGAGTCATTGGCAGAAGCCATCCAACTAGCCTGGAGCAACAAGCATCAACATCCCGCAGTGGGGCCTTGCTATCCTATTTACCACAGGAGCGGAGTGGGGTGGAGAGCCAGGGAAAATTCCACGCAGGAGGCGTGGAGTGGCCTGGGGTGGATACATGGTGGTGAGTGCATTCCCCGTGCCCCTGTGAAGTGTTAACAAGCAAGAGGCATCTCCTATAACAAGTAGGGACTCTCTGGGATGGCTGTAACTGAGAAGCAGCCCAAGGAAGGAGTTTTAGGACAAAGGTGGGGCTTAGTTTCCTCACAGTGTTCCTAAGACCCCCAAACATTCCATTGTGAAATAAGGCAGAGTAAAGAATTCCAAAATAATCACTCTGCAAGAGTGTTGTCTTGATAACCCTTTCACCTTCCTTGCTTCACTTCCTCTGATTTCCCCACTGGCTTCTCCTAAGTCAGTCAGTTTAAAGCAAGGGTATTCATGTAGAATCTCAGGACAGACATTCTATTGGGAACACAACAGGCATGAATGTGAGGAGAGATCTGGGTATACTCATGTTCTTTGGTGTCCATCATTTTAATTTCATTTACTTCACTAAGAAATCTTTTTGTTGAAATGCATGCATAGACTTCCCCCTGGCCTCGTCAGCCCCAAGCCTAGGCAGCCACGATTCCCCATGAGCACAGCGTACCTTCTGAAGAAATGCACCCAGATCAGAATGGTATATGAGTCTGTCCTATTCTGGCTCTAGAAGAGAAACATTACAATAAATAGGTGGGTGGGATCAGCCTCACGATCACAAAGCAACCAAAATAGCAGTGATACCAAACTTAGGAAAACTTAACTTTATCATTATATATACTTTTTTCTTCACAAGATTTGATACCTACTTCTCAGGGAAAAAAAAAACTGTGAAAAGGAAATTGTGCAAAACTTGCCATTATTTTTAGTTTGTTACATATCACAATTAGTCACCAAAATTAGATAGAAAAGGGTAAAACAGGACTGTTTTACCCAGGATTGGTCTTGGAGGAGGGGAGAAGAGGGCAGTGTGACTTTGGCAGCCCTGGTTTGTTTTGCTGATTAACTTCTACTTTCCTTGTTTCTTTATTTAAAACAAACTTTCCCTAGCAAAGCTTCATTCCCACAGACCAGCGTGTTAATGGAATAGAAGTGTGCTGTATAGCAAAGACCATAGTGTTAATGTATGTTATACCTGCTACCCCCATCTTTGCTTCTCCAGTCCTTTCCAGATCTACGTGGAGCAGGACAGGAGAGCAGGGAGACATATAGGGTAAGGGGGGGGCAAACCCATTTCCTGCGGGATGAAGTCAGCTCTCCCAGAGTGCTCCCACCCTGTCCCCCACTTAGTGCTCTGCTATTTTCCTTCCACCCAAAGAAAAATTCATTATATAAGGAGACTCCTTTATGTCCCCCTCTTCAAAGAATCTTTCCTTGATCTGTACTCCAACTCAATCCTTTCTTTCTCTGTAGTTCAAATTTCTGTTGCCCAGACTCACTATTGAACATCACCTCTCAGGGACTTCTCCCTGCAGCCTGAAGGGGTGCAGTAGCTTATGAGACCATTTAAGCCTCTAAAATATGCTAACAGAAGTTGAATACATTCTTCTCTCTCAGATAAATTATAAGATATCTTAAGCGAGTCATTTGTTCATTTGTATTTCCTAAACAGAGAGTAGACGCTATGGGCAGGAGTTTCAGACCAGGTAGGAACTGAGGGATGTGGGGAGCTACTTGAGAGCTAGTGGGAACTTGTCAGGGGTCCTCATATCCCTTTAAGAGGTAGTTGTCTAATCAACTCATTTCAAGGGATAGTCCTGACTTCATGCTGGGAAGGAATACATGTTTCTGCAGATAAATCAATCCTCTAATAGCAATAAATAATCCATTTTGACATCCTAGATTTGCTTCAAATGAATCATAGTAAGCTATTTTTTCCCTTCTGGGAAGAATACTATTTGCAGATATCTGCAAATTGGGAGAGTTTGTTTCCTAAATGGAACTATTCTGACAAGAAGGAAGAAAAGGTGAACTGCACGCACACACACACACACACACAACTCTCTCCGCCTCCTGCCCGACCCCAAATTCCCTCCAATTCTTCATTCTCTTTAAATTACCTGCTTATAAATAATATCTGATAAAAATCTCACTAAAAATGCATCTGCTTTTATATTAAACTTTAGTTAAATCTCCATTCCTGGACTGTATCATTAAAGTATTTGAGTGTGTGTGTATACTTTTGTCCCTTTCATCTATAATGCATCAGAATAAATGGTTTATCCACAGATAACTAAAATTCTGTGTGTGTGCCTCAATGAAGTTCAGCTTATTTAACAATTGCAATTAGTAAATATCCTGGAAAATGTTTAGAATTTAATTTTTAATACGATCCTAATGTTGCTGAGTTCCCAGTAACACAATTATAGTATTTATTGCAGCCAACATTTACCATGATTGACCGTGTGTCAAGCTCTTTTCCATGAGCTCTGGTAATTTTCCCAGTAACA